CCCTCCAGCCCAGTTCAAGAATAAGCCTGTGGAACTTCTTCAAAAGCAAAAGTATCCCATATCATCTCTCCTCATTTTTCTTCTCTTTATCCTTCATGCTGCCTGCAAGATAGGGAGAATGTGAACAATCAGCCGGAACTCTGATTGCTTACCTTGTCTGTCACATCTTTCAGCAGATCCCCTAGCTCGGCGACTTGGGGGACTCCTACTACATGGTTTGTATCGCGCTTGACCAAGCATGAAACTACAAGTAAGCTTCAAGTGAAATTGATACATTACCTTGTGCATCTCCACCAGTTACAGATACCACCCCTGGATGGAGGAAGAGTACTTCCAGAGAAGATGCCACATCTACCTATGAGACAGATAAGGCAAGTCAAGACGATACCACACTCCGGTACTTAGAAGTTTCGTGGCTACGAGATCATTCTCCCACAATATTTCCTAATGTCATTTGTACTAAATCATTCACTTGTACTCACTAAAGGAGAGCTTGAACCTATGTACTTGTGTAAACCCTTCACAATTAATGAGAACTCCTCTATTCTGTGGACGTAGCCAATCTGGGTGAACCACGTACATCTTGTGTTTGCTTTTGTGTAAACCCTTCACAATTAATGAGAACTCCTCTATTCCGTGGACGTAGCCAATCTGGGTGAACCACGTACATCTTGTGTTTGCTTTCCTATCTCTATCCATTTATATACTTATCCACACTAATGACCGGAGCAATCTAGCGAAGATCACAAAAAGTGACCGTTTTCGCTACCTAGGATCTATCTTGCAAGAGAACGGAGAATTAGATGGAGATCTCAACCATAGAATACAAGCTGGATGGATGAAGTGTAAGAGTGCATCCGGCGTGTTGTGTGACCGTCGTAGGCCACTGAAGTTCAAGGGAAAATTTTATAGGACGGCAATAAGGCCAGCGATGTTGTATGGCACAGAATGTTGGGCAGTGAAGCATCAACGTACACAAAATGGGTGTAGCGGAGATGAGGATGCTTTGTGGGATGTATGGGCACACGAGAAAGGATAAGATTGGGAATGAGGTTATTCGAGGTAAAGTAGGAGTAGCCAAAATTGAAGGAAATATGAGAGAAAATCGGTTCCGGTGGTTTGGACTTGTGCAAAGAAGGCCTACTGATGCTCCGGTTCGAAAATGTGACTACGGGACAGAGGTTCAGGGCCGAAGGGGTAGAGGAAGACCTAGGAAAACTTTGGAAGAGACCCTAAGAAAAGACTTGAGTACTTGGATCTAACGGAGGACATGACACAAAACCGAGCGCAATGGCGTTCTAGGATTCATATAGCCGACCCCACTTAGTGGGAAAAGGCTTTGTTGTTGTTGTTGTTGTATTTTTTTATTCTCATGGTGCGTGAAGCACCAAAAGAAAAAACCTTTTGTATATTTTTTTTATTCTTTTAAGATGGTGCCTGATGCACTGAAGACCTTTTATATATATATTTTTTTTTTTGTTATTTTTTTATTATTTTCTTTGCATGGTTCCAGAAGCACCCAAATTTTTTTAATAATATATACATATATTTTATGTTTTCTTTAACATGGTGCATGAAGCACTCAAAATTTTTTTTATTATATTATATTATTATATTTATATTTTTTTTTCTTTTCTTTTCTTCACTTGGACGGACGAGTTGAGCCTATAAAATGACCATAGACATAACCTTCTTCTGCTGTGAACGTTATTCTCTACTTTGTTGCTTGTCGGATTGGTGAACTTTGGAGCTTGGAGCTTGGAGCTTGGAGCTTGTCGCAGACCACGTGGTGCTGTGCAAAATACTGCAGCGGGATTTTGCTGTGTAGTGCGATTGCGTAGCATTTTGGTTTTCTTTGCCAGTGTAGCGTGCTTTGAAGGACCGCCCTGTAGCTGCCCTATTTGCCGTGCTACTCAAGTTTTGTGGCTGATTTTTTTTTCTTGCAGTCATGGTATTTTTCAAGTGTTTTAAAAGCAACACCATTACCATTCTTGCGAAGGACGGCGATTCGCAAGATAAGGGAACAACGTTGAAGTGAACGTGCCACTGACTGGTCCTAAGACGCTTGCTCTTCTCGCGAAAGACAACTTCATGCATATTAAGTCGTGGTCTTTCGAAGTATCTTAGGAGGTGGTAGACTCTGTTCGACCAAATACAAAGAAGAAGGCGTGCATATCGAGGGTTTTTATCTTGAATCCTTGGTGTCAATCATCCGGCCTCGTTTAAGCTTCTTGGTGTCCCCACTTGCGGCGATGATGTTCTTGTTCTTCGCGTTGGTTGAGGAAACCGCTTGAACCTTCCTTGATGTCATTTGATTTTCAAATGTGTGCTTTGATTTCCTTTAATGGAGAAAGAGATGAGAGGTAGAGACATGTCCCACTGGGTGTGCCAAATTTGTGAACATGAAAATTCTTGAAACAAGAACGTGTACAAAGAAAGATTTTGGTGTTAATAGATTTGTAGGGTTACAATCTCTTTATAACTTGATCCTCTGATTCGATCTCCGTAAGGTGTTGATTTGTGGATGTTTTGTTAATCCAAGGGTCGTCGAGGCTTGATCTTGGATGAACTGTTGGAAGTTTCTTCAAGAGCCCTCGGGGCTTGATCTTGAAGGTTGAGGGAAGTTCCTTCAAGGGCTTTTGGGCTTGATCTTGAAGGTTTAAGGATGAACAGATCTTCAAGAGCTTTTGGGCTTGATCTTGAAGAATGAATGTGTGGATTTGTTGATGTTGTTGATTCAAAGGGTCGTTGGGACTTGATCTTAGGATGAACGGATGATGAACGATGAACACTTTCTTCAAGGATCGTCAATGCTTGATCTTGAATTGGTGGAAGTTCTTCAAGAGACGTTAGGGCTTGATCTTGAAGGAGGATTTGACGAAGAACGAAGAGGGTTTTCTTGATCCTTAGGGATTTGCTTGAGAGCGTAGAGTTTCAAAGCTTCAAGGTATTTGTGTAATGTGAATTGGTGTTTTTTTTTTAGGATGCCTGATACCTTGATGGAAAAGCCTATTTATAGGCTTTGAGAATGAATCACCAGCACAAAATTTTCCCGCTTAAGCACCATTACCTAATTTTCCCACTTAATGCAATATTGAAATTAAAGTGGTCTAATATTTGACCTAATTTCCCACTTAATACCATTTTAAACTTAAATGGTCTAACTTATGGCCTAATTTTCCCACTTGATACAATTTTAAACTTGAAGTGTTCTTGCTTTGTCATTGCCCAAATGAGAAAAACTTATTTTGATCCGTAATGGATTGAAATGTGTTTACCTTGTCATTGCTCAAAATGAGAAGAAAAACTTGTTTTCATCCATAATGAATTGAAGTGTGCTTGCCTTGTAATATGAGAAGAAAAACTTGTTTAATCCTCTAAGGATAAACTCCAAACCCATCTGGCCCTTCTTTAAATTCAAATCCATAAGCTCTCATACTTCTAACGTACCCTATCTTGTAGAAATCGGGGTCTGCTGGCTCCAACTGCAGGTATTAAAAGATAAAGATACAATCTTTTGTCTTAGTAATGAATCGAAAACAAGAATACGAATCCTTATTCAAAGGGCATATGCAGAAAAGAACAAACATAATATGCTGTTCGGATTCCTTAATCCTTATCAACATAAAGCATTAATTAATTGTGTGGTTACCAATAAACACTTTGAACACACCCATTTTCTTGCAATATAAAAACTTGGGCAGATGCAATTATATTATCAGCAGTTAATCAAATGACACCTTAAAAAGTCTGAAAAATGGTGAAGTTTTCTAACTTCCATTTTGTCTGCATTTTCTCAGCAACCAAACAGAAAATAGTGGGAGAGGCAGAGTTGGGTAAGTTACCTCAGAGGGAGAGTCCTCAGCTTGTGGAGGCTGAAAGAGAGAAAATGGAGGAGCCTCAGTGGCAGCTTTGGCTTTAATGGGTTGGAAGCGGACGCCTTTCTCTGTGTCTTTTGTGGGGAAATAGTTTCTGGGTCTTGGGGAGCATCCATTGTTGTAGCCTTTCAGCTGCTTCTTCACATACACATCAAAACTGTTCAGCAATAGTAAAAGGGCGGAAATGCCCCTGATTTTTTCGGTCCATTACCTTTTTGCTGCCTGCTTCACACAGTAAACTACATGTATTGCCCATGATTGTCCTGTGTTGATCATGCTTTGTCCTCTCACAAAAAAAGATAAAATAATTAATTAAAAAACTGACAAAAAATTATTTAAAAAATATGACTTAAATCAGACCACATGATTTGTGGCGCACAACACAATATAAAGTTATAAAAAAATTGAATGCATGTACAAAATAATTATTAAAAATTATGAGAAACCCACATGATCCCATTCCTTTGCCTTTTGATTATTTTATTTTTTGATTTTGCTCGGCTTTTTGTCTTCCACGCTGAGTCTGCTGCAGTAGGTGGCACGGATATGTCACACAGAATACAATAAAATATTATAAAAAAATTTGAACGCATGGAAAACAAATATTAAAAATTGTGAGAAACCCCGCTGTCTTCCACCTTGCCTTTGGTTATTTTATTTGTAGGTTTTTTCTGCTTTTTGTCTTTCACGTGTTGATCATCGGTGGGAGGGGTGATGGAGAGGAAGAGAAGAGGCCATTGGAGATGACAGAGATTTAGGATTGAAACTCCAACGACATACTTGATAGCAGCAGCAGGAACAAGAGTGAGTGTTTGAAGTGAGTGAAGAACTGAGCCACGTTATCCACCTGACACTGTCCTCTGTTCTCGTGTTTTAACTTTTGACCGCTGGAGTACGAGAAAAGACATCTTTTGCGCTCTTTTTTTTTTGTTTTTTTTCTTTTCCCTTGGCCATCTTGTTTCTGTTTTCTTTCTGGTCTGGATTTATTTTGTAATTTTATTTTTCCAATTTGGTTCTAAGTCTCTAATCATTTGGAACATACCAATTTGCCCTCCAAGTCTTTGAATTTATACCATTTTTCGGTTGGTTTTAAACACTTAAATAGGCAAAAATAACCCTTAATTGACGGAAAATTTAACAGATTATCAATACGAACAAATGGAAACGTTTTAAAATATTACAAGGCTAAAAAACAAATTGAAAGTTCAGGGGCAAAATCAAAATGTAGTATTAGGTTCGTGGGAATTGCTAAAATGTTGGCTCTCAGGCGATGGAGCTAAACTAACAAGTCATTAAATTTCCCATGTTGCATATACCAATATGAGGTGAGATAATTTCTTCACATCTCAACGCCATTCTTCGACCATGCTGGTACCAAGCAGTAAGCACCATTTCTAAAGCGGACAAAGGGGCAATGCTTTCTGCTCGACTGCTTTTTAGAACAGAAGATGAAAATGGAATATGAATGGACAGACCCTGTGCAAGATGCAGGACCGAGTTTGCAGCTCCGGAAGTCTTCAGCTGTGGAATGCAACTGCAACAGCAGATACAGGAGCTCCTCAAGAATCCTGCTACCGTCTTGCACGCAGGAAGCAACAATCTTCACAAAAATGCCACGCCTTACTCCTTCTCAAAAGCCAGTTATATAAATATTAGTATCGATGAAAAGATCAAACAAACACAGTTGAGACTGAACGAGTAAACGAGACTTGCTGTTGCTCACATGCAACTTATTAAACAGTTGTAACACAACTCACCATTGCACACCACTAGCATAGAAGATGGCCTAGATTAATCCCTACTACATAGAAGGTCAAGTATGATACAGACCTAGAGGTTATCAATGCACTGGTCAGTTTAAGATTCGAACAAAAAACATCTCCAACATAAAGATACTTTATATAAGCGATAAATTTAGTAGTCTTCACTTGAGATCAAGCAAGATCGTATCAACTATCAAGTCTACTGCAGCTTGAGAAAACACAAATGGAACAGAGCCCAACCCCACAGAGGCAAGGACAATCAGAACAGAGTCCAACCCCACAGAGGCAAGGACTCTGAGTCTTTGCAACTATTGTGAAGCACAAATGGATCACATGATGGATTATATACACTCATAGCATCATAAAATGTTGTTGATGGTTTGGTGTTTAAAATCAGTGATCTAGATAGGAAAGATATATCCTTTGGGGAAGCGAAGGATAACGTCAACGATCAAGACATGTGAACCACATAACAAATGTTGCACATTGGAGGAGAACACAATTCCAAGTCACTAACTATAAGTCACTACAATTCAAAATCAAATATTTACTTCAGCACCATATAATGCAGGATAAAAAAAATTAAAAACAAAAATACTTCATGTTGAGTAATTAAATTGAGGCGCGCACACACAATCACAATTTTCCGAGTTACTGAGGATGCCTACTCTGGCACCTACGAAAAGAATTGATATTTGCATCTACACACTTCCTAAAATCGCACAGAAAGGACTATGTTTGCATAGTTCGTATGTGAATGTGTCATATAACACCATCATCCTACCAAATGGAAGATAGAACAAAGGTAATACTCCAAGATAGCAGTTTAGGCACAAAAGCAGAACCCTTTTAGCTAAAAAAAGATTCATTTTATCATATCAATGTACTGTTTCAAGGCTTAATGCAAGCAGTAATCCAGAAATCTATACCTGCTTTAGTCTGTACAACTGAAAATCATGTGATCCAACAAAGCCAAAACCTTCTTCACACCCTCTGATTCATCACCATTCGCCCCAACCCTGACACACCCTAAAGCCTCATTCAACTCCACTGCCTCCTTAATCCTAGCCTCCCTCAACAACCCCCTATAAACCCACTTCCTCACACCGCCTCCCGGCACGATATTCGCACCCAGCATTGCCCTCAGAACCTTCAAACCCTCACAAACCATCCCTTTCCTACAAAACCCATTAACCAAAACCTCACAAACTCTCTCATCGAGCACACACTGGGACCCTGGCCTCACCAACCAGCTGAACATCTTGAATGCCTCTCTGGGTCTGTTTTTCTTAAAGTATGAGGCAATGAGCATGGTTGCGATGGGCGTAAGGTGGGGATGCGAAGGCGGGTTGTGTCTGAGGCGGGTCAAAAGCGACATGGGTCGGGCCAGGTCGGGTTGGGAAGTGAAGGAGTGGATGAGGACGGAGAGAGAAATGGATTCGAGAGGTGAGTTTGTGAGCAGGGCGGTGATAGCGAGGTGGGTCGCCGTGTCGAGGTGGTTCAAGAGGCAGAGGCGCGGGAGGAGGAGGTTGATCTTTGTGTGATCTTCTTGGGTTAGGCTTTCAGGTTGGGGTTGTTTGGTTGGTTTTGGTGCAGTGATTGACTCAGAAACTGAAGAGGAGATGGAAAATGAGAGCGGTGTGGTTGTGAATTTTGAGGCACGGGAGAGGATTTGCAATGGTTTCTGAACTGATTTCATTGTCTTTTCTGCAACTCTCACCCAGTCGGTTTCAGTTTGAGAAGAAACAGTATGTACATATTGAGGAAGTTGATAACAAGGAAGAATGGGAATTGGAATGAGGGAAAGGAACCTCTTCGGATCCCTTCCACTAAATCCTACCAATCAATTAAAATTTGATCCAATAATTAAAAAGTTAGGAAAAATTTGAAATAGGTCCAATTTTATAGCCCAAATTTTGAAATAGGTCGGCCCCTTGTTTTTAGCCGTTTGATCAAATTTCAAATGTCTAAATTTGTTGATTGGTAGGATTTGGGGGAACGGATAGGGAAAGAATCCCTTTCCGGAATGAGGTTAGATAGTGATAACCACACACCCATTTGAATAAATTAAAAAAGACTAATGACAAAAAATTAAGAATGGTGTGTAAAAATGAGAATGTAAATAACACTTTCCTCTAAAATTTGTAATGAGTTACGGTAAAAATTTGAATTTTTTTTAAGGAAAACTAATGAGAGGAGCTTGAAAACTTTGAGTTTTAACGATAAGGACAAAATAAAGGGTAAAGTGAATCGTACTATGATTGACTTTTTAGTTTAAAAATGTGGTTTTTCATTAAAATGAACAGTACTGAGAGTTTTTCGTTAAAATTCTATTTTTTTTATTAACACACGTCTTTTTTTTTAATGAACACATTTGTTTTTTTTTAGGCGTTAGTAAATATCATAGAAGAGAATCAAAAAACCGAAGTAATTCTAACACTTCGTTTGTCTAAACTCTAAAAAATTCGAAGAAACCAGAATTCGGTTGACACAAATTGAATCACACAAAAACTTTATTTATTTGTTTTATATTTTGCTACACATATCTTTTTTTATCCAACTAAAACAGTTTAAACTCAATCACTTGTATCCGAAACGCGAGTATCATAGTGCAAACAGGTTGCTCCACCATTTGGGAGGTTTGATTCAAGGTTCTATTCTTTCATTTTCGCAAACGCAATCAGGTCAATTTCTCTCTGCCGCAAATGGTGGGTGCTTGGATCAAACCACTCACCATCTGGGAGGTTATTCAAGGTCCTTTTTTTCATTTTTGCAAAACCGGTCAGGTCAGTTTCTGCTCCATCTCAGAAGTGAAAGCTTTTATGCAACTTATCTGTAGACTACTGCATAATCTGTCAAGTCTCGCGTAATATCTAATTTTTCCCACATTTGTTACCATGGGCTAGAAATTGTCTTAAACATGTTTTGTGCTGGATGCCCAACACTTTCTCAAAGATACTCCGCTAGTATGTTTAATTTCTTCCAATATTCCATCTTTACTGAGGTGTAAAAGTGAAACGAGGTGAGTAATTAATTAATGATAGTGATTAGTTGAGATCGAGGATACTAGTTTGTCATAGAGGATTGAGATTTCTTCAAAAACGAAACAAGCCTACTCATAGCTGCCAAGTGAAATTTTTGTTTTATAAATATACATATACATATATATATATATATATATACATGCTTTACTTGTCAATTAATTTTCATGTTACTTGTCAATTAATTTTCATGCATTTGGTATTTACTTTGCACGATAATTGCTAAGCACATGATCGTTATTCATGAATACAAAACAATCCAAAACCTTGACTCACAAATCACAAGTATAAGATGAGTTCATATATTGATCCTTGTTTTTCCTCAAACCAAAATTTACATCTGAGCACGTTTATCTACACAGAAAAGAGTGTTATGGGAAGAAAATCTCCTGCATCCAGCAGATATCTCACAAATACATCCTATACTATTGTATACCGTATCCGAATGGAAGCTTTCACTGCTTTACTTAAGTGCTAGTAAATGGAGTTGAGTATCCGCAGGAAGCGTTTGCGTACAAACAGTCCGGCTCACGGATGCCCTTTCACTGGAATAGGTGGTTTAGCTTGTGTTTCTGCAGATAGCAGCAACAATTTTAAGGACAAATTGTTAACAAGAAAGAAGACTGCTTATAAAGGCAAAGAATTAGCTACCTTATACTGAGCCTTGTCGTTGAGGTTCTGAGTCGGCGGTGTGCACTTGACTGGCCTGCTGACTGTCCAGAGGCATGTATTGCGACATGATAGCCGTGATCTCAGAGTCCATGTAAGACTGTGATTGAAGTAAAAGAAAAATTAACAAGGGTAGAGTTCCTAAATTAATACGTAAATCAAACCAAGACGGATATATAGAGCTCGCCAAAGGAGAATGTTTAGACATACTCGAAGCCTGTATTTGTAGAAGATGTAACCGGCTAGGCCAACTCCCGACACAGCCGCAAGGACCATGAAAGTTAAAAACCAGGCAAATCTTGATCCATGTCTCTCTGCATTTAAATGGATGAACAAAAATTTAAGACATACATCTTGCAGGATGGAAAACATTCCCACTATCAACGCTGTCCTGTGCTGAGCAACAATTAATTAGTGATTAGGACTCAAATGTGACGCCTTACCAATACAAGTATCTTGCTCCTTCATATACAACTGGCCTGCCTTACATTTGCAGTTGTACCCGCCCCAAGTGTTCTTACAGCTGCAACCATCACACTGACAAGCAGTATGCGCCTTGCATTCATCAATATCTGATGCACAGTAAGAACGAATGTAAGAAAGGATGAAAACATGATTTACGGATATATTGGATTTCAAAAAAACCTTGAAAAGTTGAATATTTAGTGTACAAGAAGAAAATTAATCTTTGAGAGTTATTAGTCACAGTGGAACTCAAATCACCTTCACATTTATGACCGTCCCCTTGAAAGCCTTGTGGACATTTGCAGCCAGATAACTCAGAATTCTGTTTGGGTTTCGAAAAGAAAAAAGAGAAGAATTAAGATAAGAAAAAAATAAGAAGATGACGAAGTTTTGAGGTCTAAGAACTTCAAATTGCAAGAGAATTCTGTTCAAGAAGCACAGAGAACAACTAATAAAGTGAAAGATTATGATAAAGATCACTGAACTGAGCAAGCTGAGAAATGCAATCCATTTTTAGATTCTGACCAGCAACCTCCATTGCTTATAGCACATCTTGCAGGTCCAAAAGCTGTCAAGAAAAAAGTAAATGTTTTGAGACTTGCAACCCACATGTTCTAATAAAGAGGAGAAATTTGTTGCAATTGTCATAAAGAGGTGGTCTACCATCGCAAGATGTATAACCATCGCCTCTATACTGAACACCGTTCACAATAGGGCACTCACAAACTCTTCCCCTAAATGTGTCCTGACAAAAGGAACCAATTAACATGCAGTTAAAATCTGTAATGCAGGAAGATTTTCTCAAGTGGCATCAACTGTAGAATTTACATGTAGATTTTCTGCATACCTTGCAAGCAGTTATATTAGAGTGGATGTCCTGCCAACAACCGCCATTCCTTTCAACGCACTCATTTGTCTCGAGGTCTGTTGAAATAACACGGTGGATTGGGAGGGGAGGAGGGAGGAGGGAGAGGAACGGAAAAAGACATCAGTACGTTATTCAATCATCAAGAAACAGATATCAAACAGTATAGACTGGAAAGTGAAATAAGAACGCCAACCTCCAGTCAAACAAATAGGAGGATCAGCCATCTCCTTAAATCCAGCACATAAGGCCTTTAGCACAGTAGTTCTCTCTAATTTTCCTTCGGATCAGTTAAACAACAAACTTCAGGATTCTGATTTAGTATAAAATGTTTCCAATGAATGAAATGAAGGAACCAATGTAAATTCATAGATGGTTCCTAGCAATATCTTAAACAATGTTGGCAAAAGTGTGACAAACCTCGAAACTGAACATTGTTAATAACCAAAGTCGGCAAGATGGTAACATCACCACGAGATCCTCGTCCAACCTAAATATAACAAAAAGAAAAGGAAAAATGAGATAACTCTGTGGCTAAATTAAAAAGCTGATTATACAAATCCATTTTGCTTATGCATCTTTGTAAATGTTGTGGTTTTGAAAGATATGTGCAGTAAGTATGTCTGACCTGGATTTCTTGTTCGGCTTTTAGCACTGCATTCTCGGCATCATCTTCAGGATTACCCATACATTTTTTTATCTTGTCAACAGGCAAATCTGCAGCAATCAGATTAAAGCTATTAAAACCACAAAACAAGCATTTTTTTCCGTACACATTACACAAATCAAAACATGCGATTTACCAAGTGATTTCATGACATCCTCAGCGCATTCTTTGCTATACTTCTTTTCTTTCATTGAACATCTGATATGGAAGTCTGTCACATAGTCCCACCAAACCCATGACCGGCCGCTCTCATTGGCAACTCTATGCACACAAAGCTGCCTCAAGTTCTCGTATACCACGTCCTTCCCTTGGTACCCTTCTCCCAAATCTTTTTCAGGATCCGGTGCACAATACCTCCCATGATTTATGCATTGAGACTTGCACTGTTTTGTAAGGATGAAAGCCCGAGGACAATACCAAGTTATATAATGTGGAGTGAAGAGGGTGTAACCCCCTCTCTCAAGAACCTGAGCGTGACCCTTGAAATTTTTTACAAATGTCATTTGCTCATCACAACGAGCCCCACACTCGTCGTTGCTGTTTGTCCAGAACTCGTATTCAACTCTTTGATCGGGGTTTGGCACGGACTCTCTCCAGTCAAGTTTCACCACAACATCTTCTTTCTTCTTTAACGCTTCCTTCAAGCTATCACCAAAAGCTTTCTCTACCAGAGCTGATGGAATTCCAATCTTCTCTATGTAACCATCTGCATCTGTGCTCTCTTCCGGGGAATCCATTGTTATTAAAGGCTCTTCAATGTTATCCGCCACTAAAACGGCTTTAGCTCCCGCCTGTTGAGCATTCCACACCTTCAAAGCAAAGTAGCAACCTACAAGGGCAGTAGCATGAAGTTCAAACTACAAGTCCATAGCATTGGTTGTGTAACATCAGACCCACTTAGAATATAATCTGTCACTAACAAACAATATAAAAAATGTTAAGTTACCTATCATCAAACAAGGCTATTGGCGAGAGATTCTACCATATAACCGAGGTATATAGATCCCCTTCTTTCAATCTCTCACATCATGCGATGAGAGAGATAGACTGGTTACTAGAATTTGCCCCTCTTGGCACGGAGGAATTACAAAATACAA